GGGCCCTAAGATTCATTTTTTTAAAATGCAAACAAGAACTGAGGTGCAGACCAGAGGTGCAGTGGATGAGAGGATTCACCAGAGACAGAGTAGGGAGAAGAACAGGCAGATTGACCAAAACACACTGCTGAGGGGAGCAGCGGGCAGGTTAGGAGAGGTCTGCTGGGCCATGGGGGTCAGCATCCTGGCCTGGAATTGAATTCATGCTGAAGTGGTGGTGGATAGCTTCATAGTGCTGCGCTTTAACCCATTGCGCCACCAGGGGGACCCACTTACCACGTTTTCAATTTGTGCTTTTCTTGAACACATGCAATAGGCACCTGCTTCCTTGAATGCCAGGCGAGGAAACAGTAAAGAAGGCACAGGTCCCCTGAGGCCAGTGTGCCTTCCCTCCCCACCACTTCAAAGCAATGGTGTTACAGGGCACCACCATATGAAATGGGTGGCCTGATTGTGGGTCTTTGCCCCTGTGCTTAAAGGAACTTACAATACAACAATACAACAACTGGCATACACAAAAAGGTTAATAATGGGTTTGTTTACAAGAGAAAGGGAAATGAATAATTTAGAGTAAAAAGAGAGAGATAACTTGATTAATGTGTCCTACCAGTTACGATGACCTGGAACCCCCAAAACACACTGAGAGCCAGCAAAAAGCCAAGAGATAAGCCACAAGCCAAGAGGCCAAGAGCCCCCCAAAGACCCGTATGTCTGTTTTTATAGCAAACCTGGCTGCTTAGCTCCACCCTCAGGTCCCAGCAGTCCTCTCTTTGGTGATGCTGGGATTTGTAGTTCCAGTGTCTGCTGTGGGGGTGGAGTCCTAAAAACCTGTATCTGTAGAGTTCGTTCAGGACATCCTTTCCCCCCTAACAATGGGAAGACTTTATGTGCTAGGTTTCAAATTCTACCCTGCATCAGAATCCTCTGGAGAGTTTGCTAAAGTACAGAGAGCTGGTTCCAGAGTTTCTAATGGATCAGGCCTAGGATGGGGCTGAGGTCTGGTCTTTCAGAATAAATTTCCAGGCACAGATGATCTGGAACCCGTTCTCCAACCCCCCCTCCCCTCCCCAAGCCCTGAAGACTTACACTGTTGTGGAAGTCTGTGGCCTCTCAGCCTCTACCACAATGGCCACATTTCATTTTAATAGCATCATTGGGGGACCTCAGACCTCAGAACCTCACCCGCTGGTCCTCCCACCCCAGATACTGAAGGCCAGTCTCCATGACTTCACTGTGCCCTCTCACTGGGAACAACTTCTCACAAGGGAAAGGACTTGTCTCAGAATTTGCCTCCTGTGCTGTGTACAGATGAGGAGACTGAGGCACAGAATGGTTAAATGCTGGATCAAAGTCTCTCCCCATACCAGTAAGTAGCAGAGCACTTAAGGTATTGAATCCAGATAACATGTCCAGAGCATGCAGTAGCACGAGGAACCCACTAGTTACTTGGGTGGACTCCGTCACCAGAGGTGCTCGCCTCTTTCCCTGCCAGGATATCCCCAGCCTCTCTCCCGTTCATGTCACCTAAGCACCTTTCCGTAGTCAGCATTGGGGAAATTCCCAGGGAGAAGAGCGGGAAATTCCTGGGGTGGTGGAGAGACATTCTCAAGGGCTCAGAAAGCCCTGGAATTCTACTTGGCAAGGGAATTCTGTTCAGCAAGGGAAAGAACTTCAGCTTGGTCCAGAGAGCGGGGCCCTTCTGGGGCAGAAGCAGGCCTAAGACAGCAGGAAGTATATGGGTAGGGCTTGGGCCGGAGGGATGGGTTAGGAAGGAGGGAGTGAAGGCTTCCCTTAACTTCCATCGCTGAACATCTGGTTCCACCTAGTGGCCTCTGGTGTTCCATCTGCCCTGCCAGAATCCAGGAAGCCCAGGTCCAGCAGAGGGCCGCCTTCACACATTCAGAGTTTATTAAGCACTTCGAGGAAGGCACACAGATGGTCAGTGGGAGCTCAACTCTCGTATTCGTGAGGATAAAGAAGGCGCAGAGGGGGGCAGAGGGCTCACCTGCTGGTCTCCTGGGAGGGCACAGGGAGGGCTCACTGTGTGAGCACGTGCTTGACTCTGTAACACTGAGCACCAGCACCTGGTTTTGACACTTCAGTTTCCCCCTCTCAGAAATAAGAGGGCTGGTGTAGATCCCCTCTGGGGTCTCTTCCAAAGACCACACGAAGTAGTAGTTAAGAGTTCAGCTTTGGGTTGGATAAATTTGCATTTGGATCCCAGCTGTGTGTTCTTGGGCAAGTTACGTAGCCTCTCTGAGCCTAGTTTAATAATCGATAGATTAAGTGTGATGATTATATCAAATGTTTGGCACAGAACCTGGTGCTTGGCGAGTATTCTACAGTGGGGATGGGTGCCGTGGGTGGTGATGAATCCACTTGTAAGTAGCCACATTACAAGACAGAGTTTCTACGATAGCAACCTAAATGTCACGGACTTTGGAGAAGGGATGGAGCTGACTCTCTCTGGCACAGGTTGGGAGTCTGTTCTCCAGTGGGACTACGGGAACACAATCTTGGATAGACCCCATGGTGCTCAGGATGAACTCTGGGCACCCTGGTCCTCTCCTACAGCCCCCTCTCCAGCCCTTCCTAAGGACACAGGTGCTGGGGTAGGAGTCCCGGGCCCTTTCCTGTGCTGTGGGGCCCATGATGGTGCTGGCGGTGAAGGGACAGTCCAGTCCTTGACTGATCTGGCTTCTGGAAGCCTCTGTGCACCTTCACCGTGACACTCTGGACCCCAGATAAACTCAATCTGTAGCCACTGTGTCTCCCATCAGCTCCAAAAGGATAAGCAAGAAGAAACAGAAACGAAAATTTTAGAAAAAAGATGCACCCCTGACCTCTAAGAGGCTGCACCAGTTGTCCTCGCTGTCCTCCTCCTTTTTTCGTAGGGGCCGGAGTGTAGCCCCCACCTCTTGGACACCACCCCCCCCCCCAGTTAGAAAGTCTTGTAGCAAAGTCACATTCACATTAGCTGCAAGCCCATGCTCCCCAGCCCCACCCCCGCTCCCCCTTGCTTGTCCACTAGCTTCCAAGGAGCAGCACAGCCACTGCTGTCTAGGTTTTTATTCTTCTGTGGTCAGCACCCCTCCCTCAGGCTGCACCATGGGGTCACCTCCCTGGCTGGGGATCGAACTCATGCTGCAGTGGCTGCGGATAGCTTCATAGTGCTGTGCTTTAACCCGTTGTGCCACCAGGGAGGGCCTTAAATCACAGTCCCATAAACTATGTATCAAAAAGTTCAAATTATGCTGTCTTGGAACAAATTCTGCAATGTCGATGTACTTTTGGGTTCACAATGCGGTATTTTCACCTGGCGATGGGTCTGCAGAATGGCTTAGAGTAGTAACACGCGATCTGCTGTGATTTTCTTTCTTTCCCACTGCGTTCTGGAGAACTTGGAAAACTGTGCTCCCTGGCTAACAAAAATTCTCTGTGCTCCTTGGGAGCTGACGACAGCGATAGAAACACCTGCAGTCTGCTGTGCTGAGGCCCCAGAAGACCTCCCGCCAGAAAGCCAAGCTGTGTGATGTCCACCTCAAAAAATGTCCTTTGTGGAAAGGCGCTCTCGTGGCTCTCAGTTGAGGGAAACAAAAGACCCAGTGTGGTCACTCCCAGCTGTCGCTGGCACGCAGGGTCAGCCTTGACCTCCCCTTGCCCTGCACAGCCAAAGCCCCCAGCACTGCTTCTTTCCTAATGCTGTTCCTCGCCACCGTCCAGCCCGTCACAGGCCTCCCGCCTCTGTGTCCTCCAGCTGCCCTTGCGGTTTCCTCTAACCGAAGCCTGAGTTCGATCTCCAGCCGGAGAGCTGACGCACATGGTGCAGCAGATCCCTCATTCTGCTCCCCACTCTGTCTCTGGTGAGTCCTCTCACTGCCCACCTCTGGCCTGTACCCCAGTTCTGTATGAATGCATAAATAAAAATAAATCTTCAAAAAAACCTACCTTGGGGCCTCCCTGGTGGCACCGTGGGTTAAAGCGCAGCACTGTGAAGCTCTCTACAGCCACTGCAGCATGAGTTCGATCCCCAGCCAGGGAGCTGACCCACGTGGCATGGCAGACCTCTCTTCTGGCCTGCCTACTGCTCCCCTCAGCAGCGTGTTTCAGTTAATCTGCCCATTCCGCTCCCCACTCTGTCTCTGGTGGATCCTCTGCACCTCTGACCTACACCCCAATACTTGTATGCATACATAAATAATTCTTTAAAAAAACCCTGCCTCCTCTGGGGGGACTTCCAGGTGCCCCCTGGCTTCTTTGGGACCCTTCGGCATCACCTTCCTTTCCTTTCATAGCGTCTGTCCCACTAAAGTGTAGTCATTTATTTGCATATCTGTTTCCTCACTGGACTAAGGGCTCCTTGCGCCTTTTCATGTTGTTTCCACGAAGGATCTAGCAGGCACGCACAGTGCAAACTGGCCACTGCCAGCATGCGTCCACTTGTGTCTGGACCACCACGTGGCTTCACCTGAGCGGAGTTTGTGTGGTGAGGGGGCACACAGATGGTCACGTGCTTGCTGGGATCAGCATTGAGGCAAAGGCTCCATGTCCTAGCCATGTGGTGAGTGACCCACCCTGCAAGTCTGTCCTTTCTGGTCTGAGAAATGGCCAGGGCGGTGCCTGATGCTGTTGTGAGTGCTGCTGCGGAAATCAGCTTCCAGGCCTAGAAGTGGCCAGCCAACACCGGTGTCCAGTTTCAATGTAGGAATGGCCTTAGAATTGTCTCCTGGAGAGGACTCAGGAGACCTGAGCTCCCTTCCGGTCTGCCCCTCCCTATCTGTGGACCCCTAGGCAGACTTGTCCCCTCTCTACTTCAGGGAGTGAAGGCAGTGGCCTCTGATGACCCTGCAGATCTGTGGAGCCTGAGCTGGGGTGTCTGGAGAGTGCGACGTTCAAGGGCAGCAAAGAGTGCCTTGTGTCCAGCAGAGGGCCCTGCCCAGCCCGCGGCCAGCAGGGTGGGCGGGAGCAGGCTGAGTCCACTGGAGAGGGCTGGTGATGCCAGACGCCTGACTGGAGGCGGACCAACCGGCCAGCTGCCTCTCTCGACTCAGACCAGTACTTGGGTCCCGTTGCCCTCACCTGCTCTCCGCGGGGAGCTGCCTTGGGCTCGTCCGGCCATGCCGTGGCTGTGGCCGCTGGCCGTCTCTTTGGGTGTGTTGTCTGCTGCGGGGCTGAGTGGGGTCTCTGGGGGTGGCCCCCTGCACGGGGGCAGGCGCAGAGCTGAGGTCTGGGAAGAGCAGAGCCGATCCAAGAGAGGCACTGAGGATGAGGAAACCAAGGGGGTGCAGCAGTATGTGCCTGAGGAGTGGGCTGAGTACCCCCGGCTCATCCACCCTGCTGGCCTGCAGCCCACCAAAACCTTGGTGGCCACCAGCCCCAACCCAGGCAAAGATGGCGGCACCCCACGCGGTGGGCAGGAGCTTCTGGGCAACCTGACATGGACGCTGGGTCAGAAGCTGCAGATTCAGAACCCCCTGTACCCAGTGACGGAGAGTTCCTACAGTGCCTATGCCATCATGCTCCTGGCCCTGGTGGTGTTTGCCGTGGGCATCGTGGGCAACCTGTCTGTCATGTGCATCGTGTGGCACAGCTACTACCTGAAGAGCGCCTGGAACTCCATCCTCGCCAGCCTGGCCCTCTGGGATTTCCTGGTCCTCTTTTTCTGCCTCCCTGTTGTCATCTTCAACGAGATCACCAAGCAGAGGTTGCTGGGTGATGTCTCTTGCAGGGCCGTGCCCTTCATGGAGGTGAGTGTGTCCCGGCACCGTTCGGCTGCATTTCTCTAGGCCATTGGAAATGGGAGCTGCGGGTGTGTGAGACAGAGAGGCCTGAAGCTCTCGCTGTCTTGCTTAACCAAATCGAGCAGATATAGTATTGGTTTTGTACTTCTTGGGTGAATTGGGGCGGGGGGGGAGGATGGGGGGTTTTAGAGGAGTAGGCAGGTGTGTAGCCCCAGCTCCTCCCTCCAGAATGGCCTCAGGCAGATCGCTCTCCATTTCTCTGCCTTAACCCTCCTCCATCTTTCCATCCAAGAAACGGTTTGTTGTGACTCCTTTTTCCCTCATGTCCATTGCCTCTGCCCTGTACCCATGTCTCCCCCTCTTTAAGCCATAATATCCTCCCTTTCCAAGCAGTGTCTGGATTGAGAACCCAATTTTTGTCAACCCCAGATCAAGTCAGAATGCACTCTTATGCATGCAAACCCAGGGGGGAGACTTCCTGCTCCCTTCACTGTGATTGCTGCATTATCATTGCCATCACCATTAGTGACTTCCCAAGTCCTTCCTGGAAGGGAAGTCCCAGTTCCAGCCTGGGAGTAGAGGGGACTCTAGTCTCAGCTCGGTCACTGACACACAGCGTATCACTGCCTAGAGATCTCAGCTCCTCTCCAATTTCCTTGTTTACCAACAAGGGGGTAGACCAGATGACCCATTCTACAATTCAAAGTATCCCACCACTTCACCTCTGGGAACTTCTACCTGAAGACAAGCATGTATGCATGTGTGGGTGTAGCTTGATGGATAACTGACATAGAGATAGCTTGATAAAACATTACAAAAAACATACCAAAAGATGTACATTTGTGAAAGACACAGGAAAGCCACTGGGTTTCTATAGAAACATAAACTATAGCAAACAGTTTTTAAAGTGCTGACTTTGTGGGGGTTCATAATGAGATCTCCTTGTGAAGACTGATCTTTCCCCTGTGAGTGGACGATGCTGTGTGGTCCAGATGTCCTGCCTGGTGGAAAAGGAAGCAGGCTTATGCATCTGGACACAGGCCTTGTTCCCAAACCCTGTGTGTGTTAGTGATGGTTTCATATTTGCATAGACTCTTAAGATGCAGCAGTTGGTACAGCCAAAGGTACTCAAAACTGAAAGAACACCTTAGAACAGGCCCTTCCTGGTAGCGCAACAGGTTAGGATGCAGCACTGCAACCCGGCAACAGTAGCTTCAGTGGGAGTTCGATCCCTGGCCCCTGATGTGATGCACATGGCGTGCCAGACCTTTCCTGACCCGCCCGCTGCTCCCCTCAGCAGTGTACTTAGTTGATCTGCCTGTCTTGCGCCCCACTCTGTCTTTGGTGAAGACTCTCACCTCCCCTGCACCTCTGGCTTGTACCCCACTTCTGTATGCATAAAAATAAAGAACACCCTAGAACTGGGGATCGCCTTTGCATCTTAGCACTCATGGGTTAGAGCCCAAGTATCTGAGATGGTTGTGCCCAAGGGCTTTCCCCCTCACTCTTTAAGTGAACTTGGTAGGTTCCTTACACGCCTGAACCTCAATTTCGCCATCTGTAAACTGGGGAGAATAAAATAACAGCTCTATGAAGGAATTCTTTAAGAATTAAACAGGGAGCATCTGTAACTCAAATAATGGGGTGTCATGGGGATTGGTGGCTGGAGGAGGGAGGGGGCAAACAGATACCATGGACTTTTGTTTGCAGGTGGCTGGGGGCTCAAGGAGAGACCATCCCACCTGACTGGGTCTCAGCACACCTGAGCAACCCCGTCCCACCTCTTGGAAGATAGAGATGATCACGAGCCTACAGAGCTCTTTCTAGGCTGTGTGACCTGGTGGGAGTCGAGGACAGAATCCAGTGCACAAGGGCCTTTTTATAGGGAGGCCCCAAGGATTGCCTCAGGCAGCAGAGGAGGGGGGAGCTTGGAGCAAAAGCTGAGATATTTTTTGAGAGGCAGGGAAAGCAGGAAAGTGATTGGTGTTTTTGCCCAGGGCGGAAGGTGCTCCTCCACAGGCCAGACTCCTGCCAACAGAGGGGGTGAGGTACTCAGAGGCCGGGGCCCGCGTGCCCTGCCAGGGGAGGAAAACATTTGGACAGAAGGGGGGATCTGAGCACAATCCCCGAGTGTGGTCGAACATCATCTGATAGTTCGGGAGGGTTCTCCTCTTCCTTTATTTTCTCTGGCACTGTCCCTCCCGCTGCTCTGGCTGCTTTCTCTTGGCCGGCAGGGTGATTTTCCTCTGAGCTCCATGAATAGCACGCAGAGTGGGTGGCACGGGCGGCGTGGCGGGGGCTGCTTCCCCACTCGGCCAACCCCAGGCTTCTCCGGAAGGGGACAGTGTGACGTAGGCAAGTGTGAGTGAGTGTGCATGTGTTCGAGTGGCTGCAATAGTGTGTGCGTGGGTCTGAGGGCGAGCATCTGAGTGAACAGGGGTGTGCTTGAGAGTATGAATGAGGAGGTGTGTCAGACTGTTGGGGAGAACGCATCTGAGTGTGTGAGCACTCAGTGAATGAGGGGGGGAGTGTGCCTGAGTGAGTGTGTGAGCAAGGATGTGAGTGTGCCTGTGGGGTGGCTGAGTGAGCGTAAGTGTGTGTGAGTGTGTCTGTGTGAGTGTGAGTCATGATCCCCACGCCATCCCTCTGGTGCACACAATGGGGGGTGGGAGTAGGCAGGGCCCACAAGACCCAGCCTTCTACATTTTTGTCTTGTTTCTCCCTCAGGGGTTCTTGGGGCTCCCCCGCTGCACGAGGGGCTGCAGGACCCTGCGGATCCGCTGTCACCCCTGAGGGTGGAAGGCAGGCCTGTGTGTGAGGCCCTGCCTAGATATTCCTGTCTGGGCCAGGGTTTTTCCCTAAGATTTATTGATTTCTGTATGCAGGGAAGAACTGGGGTGTAGACCGAGGTGTGGGGCATGAGAGGACTCATCAGAGGCAGACTGGGGAGCAGAACAGGCAGATGTACTGAAATACACTGCCGAGGGGAGCAGCAGGCAGGTCAGGGGAGGTCTGCCACACCATGTCGGTCAGCTCCCTGGCCGGGGATCGAACTCAGGCCACAGTGGTGATAAAGCTGAGACTTAACCCATAGGCCACCAGTGAGTCGCATGGTGGTTGGTTAGGAGGATTTGATGTATTGCGAAGCACCGGATATCAGGAAAATGCCCCCTAAATGGCATCAGTCACCACCGCCACCTTCCTACTTAGCAGTCAGTTCATGGGCTGACTGTGCCGGAAGTCAGCCCCGCACCCCCTGGTTCTGACCCAGGCCCCTCTCCCTCCACATCTGTGCCCACAGGTCTCGTCTCTGGGAGTCACCACCTTCAGCCTCTGTGCCCTGGGCATCGACCGCTTCCACGTGGCTACCAGCACCCTGCCCAAGGTGAGGCCGATCGAGCGGTGCCAGTCCATCCTGGCCAAGCTGGCCGTCATCTGGGTGGGCTCCATGATGCTGGCCGTCCCCGAGCTCCTGCTGTGGCAGCTGGCGCAGGAGCCTGCCCCCACCTCGGGCACCGTGGACGCGTGTGTCATGAAGCCCTCGGCCAGCCTGCCCGAGTCCCTCTACTCTCTGGTCATGACCTACCAGAATGCCCGCATGTGGTGGTACTTTGGCTGCTACTTCTGCCTGCCCATCCTCTTCACGGTCACCTGCCAGCTGGTGACATGGCGCGTGCGGGGCCCGCCGGGGCGGAAGCCGGAGTGCCGGGCCGGCAAGCACGAGCAGTGCGAGAGCCAGCTCAACAGCACCGTGGTGGGCCTGACGGTGGTCTACGCCCTGTGCACGCTTCCCGAGAACGTCTGCAACCTCGTGGTGGCCTACCTCTCCCCCGAGCTGACGCGCCAGACCCTGGGCCTCCTGGGCCTCGTCAACCAGTTCTCCACCTTCTTCAAGGGCGCCGTCACCCCGGTGCTGTTGCTGTGCCTGTGCCGGCCGCTGGGCCGGGCCTTCCTGGACTGCTGCTGCTGCTGTTGTTGTGAGGAGTGTGGGGGCGCCCCCGAGGCCTCCGCCGCCAACGGCCCCGACAGCAAGCCCAAGACCGAGATGTCCCCCTCCATCTACTTCCACAAGCCCAGGGAGTCACCGCCGCTCCTGCCCCTGGGCACGCCGTGCTGAGACCCGGCCTGCGGGAGGCACAGGGGCAGGGGCCGGGAGCTGGCGCCCAGCCTGTGTCTGGTGTTTCGCCATCTTGCTGTCTGGAGATGGGCTCTGGGAGAGGTGGGGGGTGCCACGCCTGCCGCCCCAGGCAGGGTCCTTCCTGTCGTGTCCTCTCAGCTGGTGGGAGGTGCTGCTTCTAGGTCCTTAGAGCTTCCCGGCAACGGAAACGTAGCCCCACCAGCCGGGAGACCACTCCCTCTGTCCTCTCCTGCTTCCTTCCTCCTGTCTTCCTGCCCGACTACTTCAGCTGTGCCCCCTCCAAGCGTCGGCTCCCTGCCCCCACTCATCCTGGAATAGGGGGGCTCCTTGGAGGTCAACCTGATTTGGCTCTCTGGACCAGTTGCAGCCCTGGATGCCGACTTCCGGCATCTTCTTTTCCTCCAGAGCATTTGTCTGTCCCTCCTCCTCCTCCTTTGGGGCACCCTGGGTGGCCCCATCCCCACCCCTCTTGTTAGGTGCTTCTCTGTAGGTGGCCCTTCTTGGAAAAAACAAAACAAAACAATAAACTAGGTAGACACACCCTGTGCCCACTGGACTTTCTTGTGCCACCTCCTGGCAGTGCCCAGGTGTTCCCAGGTCTCTCCCCAGCTGAATGGCACCCTGCTGGGGCAACTTCTCCGGGCCACCTTTGCCTCTTCCTGGCCTGTGGCTGATGGTTGGTCCAGCTCCGAGTTTCCATGGCTTTGAGGGGCTGAAAGGGCAGAGTAGAGAGCTGGGAACACTGGGGACTAAATCCTCACCCTGGCCAGAGCCCAGTCACCCCTGGGAAGTTAAAAGTTTGCAAACTTAGGTCCTCTGGAATTCCCTACCTCTGCTCCTCCCTCTCTCCACAAAGCCCCCATTTGAAAGAAACCAGAAGCCTTCCCTCACGAGCCCCAGGGCTTCCAGCCTCTCTGACTCTGAGAACTGCTCTTGTTCAGTTTCTTAGAACTGACTGTTTGGCCTGCAGAAGACCCAGCTGCCTGTCCCCTGCCTGCCCCCACCACACCCCCTCTTCCCGCCAGCCAGCGCACCAGCTCATGGCCTCACAGACCCTCTGGTTCCTCCCACTGGCCCTGCCCCGTGTCCCACTTCCTCTATCTCCACCTCTGGGGCCTTCCCAAGGGGTCCCCTTTGCCATGTTTGGGCCCAGAGAAGCTGGCACGGTCACCCCAGGGGTGTTTCAGTCTTGACCACGAGTCACACCCTGCTCCACAACCTCGGCTTTCTTCAGAACCACCGTGCCCATCTGAAAAAGTTCTGGTCCTACCGGTAACGTCTGCCCACCTGGAACATCTGCCCAGGGCTTCAGGAAGGGTCCCCAGGGGCCAGGGATGGTGAGGGGCAGGGGGGCCCCAGTGCCCCGGGCCCCATTCTCCTCTGTCCACCCCACCCACATCCCTTGGCTTTAGCCCACCCATACCCAAGCCTCCTTCCCCCTCTCTTGGGGATCTTAACAGCCTTGTTCTCGCTCCCTGGCACCCACCCCCGGGCCGGGTGAGGCCGCCAAGAGAGGGAGGCGGTTGCTAGGTGATGGCGCTACCATGGGCACACTCTTTGTGCTGGGGAATGACACCCACCCGTTTCTCAACAGACCTGTTGCCACAGTGACTGAAGCCCCCAGCTTTGTCTGTGGAAACTTAAGATGAGTGGAGGGAGTCTGCTCGAAGGGGAACCCAAGCTTGCCAGCCCGTGTCCTCCACACCCCGACCCTCCAGCTCTCTCCCCGCACCTCCCAAGTCCTAGAAGCACCAACAGCTTCTGAGGAGAGCAGGAAGCGGGGCTGGGGTGAACTGAGGTGAAGGGACCACAGGCAGCATTCTGTTCGGGGGCCTTTCCATAAAGACACCCTCTGCCTCCCCTTCCTGCTGGCTGACAGCTCAGAGCTGAAGGGGGACGGTGGCTCCGAGCTTCCCCCTACCACGGCCCCCTCCCAGGCCTGCCCACGTGAGTGGCTTGCAGAATTAGCAGGCCAGCCAGGCCTTGGGAAAGGGTCACTGTCCCTCCAGCCTGGGCCAGCTCGGGGAACAATGTAGCACTTGTTGCTTAAGGGTCCTTGGCTTGGGGGGAGCAGGCTGGCATGGCGGTGGGCGGTGGACTTGAGCTGGGGTGCTCAGAGGCGGTGCTGGTCTTACTGCCCCCTCAGGGCGGCCTCTTGGAGGCCAGCCCTCAGGCCCTGGTGCCAGGTTCAGAGGGCATGGTGGCGGGAAGCGCGTGCATTCCGCAGTGAGACTCGCCTCATCCAATTAGAACGGACACTTGCGGACACTCTGGCCTCAGCTTCCTCGTCTGTGACCTGGAGCAGGCTTTTCCTCACAGAGGACTACTGTGATTAAAGGAGCCAAGACACGTAAAGCAGCTGGCACAGTGCCTGGCACCCTTTCTTCCTTCCCTATAGGAACTCAGTTCCCTAGTACACAGGCTTGGCCAGGGCAGCTTTAACTCGCCAGATGTTCAAAGGCCCTGACACAGCAGTTACATATAAGCCGGTGTCTTTCTTCCCTGTTCTAGTTCGGCAGGTAAGTCACACGGTACCCGCTATGCCCAGCACAGTGCGCGATGGTGCCTGCTCGCTGGAGACCAGCGTCTGTCTTGGCTCAAACCTTGTCCCCCCGGAGGATGATAGGCCCTGAGAAGGGCAGGCCAACCTTGCATCCCCCTGTCCTGCTCCCTGGATGAGTGACCCCCAGCCCCCACCGCAGGAGAGGGCGTGCAGGGTCCACCTCCCCCATCTGGGGATGTCTTGTTGTCCTCAGGAGCCGGCAACACCCTAAAATCATTGTTGCCGCCTGCCAACGTCCATCTACAATTTCCTCAAACTCCTCCAGCATTGGGGAGCGAACTACCTCTCAGGGCAGGTCATTTCCCCTACAGCTCTGACGTGGCCAGCTACTGCGGGAGGAAGCCCCGGGTGCGTCAAAAGGGAAGAGACCAGGGGACGTCAGGACCCACGGGCAGAGCCCAAGGGCTGCCGCTCCTTCTTCCTGTAGACGCAGGATGGGAAGGGATGGAGGTTCTGCTGGGCTTGCTCCATTTTCCAGAGAGGCTGAGGGAGGTGGAGCAGGGGAGAGGCGGAGCTTCCTATGAAACTGGGTCAAGATGGCTTCAGATGCGGGTAAGCAGGGCCCAGCAAGGCCCCCAAGGCTCTTGGAGACAGCAGCTATGGGACTGTGAGTTGCCAAGGATGGAGTGGGGCTGGAGAAGTGACTGGAGCTGGAACTGGGCAGGAGTGAGGCCCAGCCTCCCAAGGAGAGGACTGCATGGGCACCCCCAGAGCAGCGGCGAAGGACAGAAGGCAGAGGCTCTGCCGTGCCCCAGGTGACAAGTGGCGAGGACAGAGGGCTGGCGAGCCAGGCTGCAGGCGAGGACCCCAAGGGGCGCACAGGACAGTCAGCCCCACCTCCCGCCGCCCTGAGCCCCGGCGGTTCCACACAGCGACCTTCTCAGCACCGCTTGGCAGTTGCAGGCTCAAAGCGGCACCCCACGAAAGCCCAACACCGTGAAAAGGAAGGAGGCAGAAGGAGAGCCCAGCTCACGCCAGGGAGGCGGCTTTGTGAAGCACCACTGTGTGCCCGGCTGCGTGTGCCCGCTGGGGGCTGCTGTGCCCAGCGTGCGGGGGTGCGGGGCATCCCTGCCGTCTACAGAAACAGAACTGGCACCACACACCCACCCAACACAAAATTGGTCATTTATTCTTGCTGTTGTTAGGAGGCAAAAAAAAAAAATGTACAGTTACAAGAATCATTTTCCAAACAGAGGTTAAATATGAGCTGAAAAGTGTAAAAAAAGGAAGAGGAACATCACTTTACAAATCATTAAATTAAATAAACAAACAAGAAACAAACCCAAAGAACCAACCCCCCATGCTGAGTTCTCTCCTTGTGCAACTCTGCAAAATGAGAACAGAAAATGAGGTGGGCCGTGGAGGTGGGGGCCCCGGGCAGGGGCGGAGCTGGGCGCAGGGGCAGGCAGGACTGGCCGGGGAGGCTGGCTCCCTGCCCCTGAGGACGCACCGTCACGCACTGCAGGGAGGAGCCAGGTTGGGGGAGGAAATCAACAGGAGGCGGGATGGTCCCCAGGACCCAGGCAGGTACCCACCCGGGTGCCAGCTGTCACCCTCCTGGTCCGAACTGGCCCTAAGCCACACCCACCTCGCCCCTTCTCTCCGGGCTGCCCCCCCTCCCAGGTCCTGACTGGTCCCTGCAGCATCAAATGGTGGATTTTAGTCTTTGCTTAAATTAAAAAATTAAAATATATATACATATATATACTGTACACACAGGACAATAACAGAAGAGTATTGAAAAGGGAAGTAGAGGTGGGCTGGGGAGAGACAGGAGGGCAGGCTTGACAAGAAGCAGGGTGGGGCAGGCACAGGGAGAAGGGGAAGGGCCAGAGGTTAGGGGGCCAGAATGGGAGTTTATTTTACAATAAAAACAGGAGTTCAAACCTCAGCAGAACAGGACTCTGGGAGTCCCACAGGGCCCCTCCCCATACCAGGCGAGGAGGGTGGGCGTGGGGGGACGGCGGGGTGGGCAGGGAGCTCGGCTTCAGGTCTGGAGGGTGAGATCCCTGGTCCGAGGGGGAAGGGCCGCAGTCTCAGCTTCTCCGTGACTTCGAGTGTTGAATAAGCCACTGTAGGGTGATGTCTGGGGTGGGGTGCGGGGGGGGGGAGATAAGAGAGAAAGGTCATAGGGCTTCGGAAGCTACAGCCAGATCAACTCTAGGGCAACAGAGGCCCAGAGCTACCACGCCCAGGCAGCCCCAGATGGGTGGCGGAGGTATGTGGGTGCTGTGAGGAGGAGCTGGAAGGGGCTGGGGCAGTGGGGTGCTGCCTGGGAGGGAGCCAGTTGATAGCAGAGCTGGGGTAATGCCAGAACCTGGGTGTCCGGGCTGACTGTCCTTCCCCAGAACTAGAGCCCTCTGTGTTTCAGGGGCCAGCCACTGTGCCACCACACCCAGCATGACGCCCCCCTCCCCTCCCTGGCCTCCTTCCCGGAAGGCCAGCAACTCGCCCAAAGCACATACCAATGTTGTCCTTTTCTTTGCAGGAGATGGAGTAGCAGCAGATCTCTCGGTCCTGGATGGCAGACAGATTCCTGAGGGAAACCAAAATAGAAGCTGTTGAGGCGGACACTGTCCAGGAGGTCTGGCGTGAGGGGCTGGGGTCTCCTCTTGCTCAAAGACGTGCAATGAGGGGGGGTTGAGGGAGTGGTGTGAACTCCTGGTCAGGCGGGCTCTGCTGCCACCGTGTGGCCACTGCTGAGAGCAGCAGCCAGCCTGCTGGTGCCTGGGGAATTTGGGAGCAGGGAGGAAATCAAGAGAAGCCCCACAAACTCACATCTTCTCAATCAGCTCCTTTTCATCCAGGGCTCCAGGGAGGTCTCGCTTGTTGCCCAGGACTAAGACCTGAGGAAGGGAGGGCAAGGCCTAGGTCCAGGGGGGCTGTAGTCAGGGGAGCCAGGAGCAGGCTCACTTCTCTGCACCCTGACGCTCCTCCCCAGCCCTCCAAGGACCGGACCCTCACCTCCTCTGCCTTGCTCCAGCCCCCCCCCACCCCCATGATGTCTGACCGGGATGCCCTGCAGCTGTGGTTTGTCCAGCAGGTTGTGGAGCTCATTCTTGGAGGCCTCAATCTTCTCCTGGTCAGCAGCGTCCACCATGTACCTGGGGGAAGGCGGGTGGAACAAGCAGGTGATGCCACAGGTAGGAAGGAAGACAGAGAGCTGCCACTTGGAGAAGCCTCTTGTTCCAGTCTGGCCACCTCTGGATTTATGGGCCACATGGGTCTGGCGCAAAGCACGGAGGGGCTCAATGAATGTTCTGGACCATGGAAGTAACATGCTGCAGGGACTCCTGGGGCCTGCCTTAGCCGGTCCCCCGAAGTTCCATTCTGGAGGAGCTGTTACTCAGGGCCTGTGGGGAGTAGGTCCCCATAACTCCCCCCAAAACGAGCTCTTCTGTTTCGTGGGAAGACTAGACAAGGCCGAGTGAAAAAAACCACCACGATACAGCTGAAGGAAGCCCCAGATCTTCCTGCAAGACACTTTTTTAAGTGTCAGGTTAAAAGCAATGAAAATGCTGCTGAAGGAGGGGCTGGCGGGAGCCTAGCGACTGTGTGTCCCAGCCTGAGCCCCCCCCCCCAGGGCCCAACGCTAGCAAGGGGGGCCCCCGGAGCCCCCTGCACTTACACGATGGCACTCACTCCTCGGCAGTAGCGCTCCCACATGCTGCGGAAGCGGGGCTGTCCCCCGATGTCCCAGAGCTGAGCAGGAAGAGGGTGAGGGTCTCAGTAGCAGGCAGCCACCAGGCCCAACCCCCCCAGTCCTCCGTCTCCCCTCCCCCCCAGGGACTCTGCTCTCCAAGCCTGCTCCTCTCCCCTATCTCAAAGTCCGTGCCCACCTTTCCCAGGTGACCAACAAGCAGACCCCAGCCTCTGCTTTCCTTTAGCTTCTCCTGCCAGGGACCCAGTGTCTGCACACTCCAATGTCTGCACACACACACACTCACCTTGATGGTCACATTCCCTTTGGTGATTTTGCGCATGTTGAAACCCACCGTGGGGATCATGTCCTCATTGAACTGTCCTGACTGGAAGGAAGGGTCAGGATTGGAAAAATAGCAAGAATTGACAGGACCTAGACACCCCCGCGCCCCCTGGTAGTCACGGGCAAATGGGGCAGAGGCCAGGCCAGGCCAGGGGTTCTCAAGTACACCTCGGGGGTCACCAGGAGGCGTCTCCCTGGCTTCCAGCAGGCCGGATGTAACCCATAGCTGCGCAGCCTACACTGGAGAGCTGCACTGAAGTGACCGGTCTTCCTCAGGCAACCTCAGTGTCTCAACCCAGACCGAGAAAATTCCAGCCTACATTTCTCTGTTGGAACACAAGCCCCTTCTTTGTATTTAGTCTCCAGGAGAGGGGGTGAATAGTTACCTCCCAGCAAAAGAACCCCAGAAAGCAGAAGGCAAACAGTCAGGGGGGTCTTACAGAGCACAGATACATTTTCAAGCAAGTAGCAAGTATTTCAGTCCAATTTTTGGAGGTTAATCGGCCAACCCCAAAATGCAATGCCAGGGAAGCAATTTCTGGATTATTCACAGTTTGGCTTCATTTGCACTATGCTCCATTTATTAGGTAGATAATCCACATTCTGCACCATCTATTAACTTCTGCACCTCGCCACTGGACAGAGCTTCTTCAGGCGAAAACCCACATGGACGCTAACATGAGTGTCTGCTGGTCATCAGAAGTTTCCTGTAATGCTACTTCCTATGAGCCACTTTCAAATTCGAACAACTTTCATTTCTCCCCTCTAAACTGTCTCCAGGATCTCTAGCTGGTTCTAACCTTAGCACAGACCCCAAATAAAGTCAGACAAACTCCTCCAAGGTCATCTCCAAGTTCATTTGTTCTCCACCAGCTACACACTTCTTACACCCAGATGCAGGCTGAAGGAAATGAGGGTGCCTACTGAACCTTGAACCTGAGGGTGATAGGCGTGTCCCCCTGCCATACCCTCCTCTACTCCCAGGTGATAGGAATGATTTGCCTCAGGTCACATGAAGAGGTCAGGGGCTGACCACTGGCTGAGGTGGAGGGCATCAGCCGCCAAGTCTCCATGGAGACCCCTGAGATTCATCAGAAAGGGAACAGTACCAATTCCCCTTTACTTGCAGAAACCAGCGAAACTCACTCCCCAGCCCTTGTAGGCTGCGAGGACTGAATTTCCAGAGCAGAGCCCCTGACCGGGTGGAGCGAGCCAGCCTCTGGGTCTGCGGGCCACAGCCTGTCTGCGGAGAATGGCTGCCCCCCGGGACTGCACACAGCCTGCGCGTGCACATTTCTGTTTCATAGTAAAGTGTTTCTTGTTTTTATCACATAGCAAGAGTCTAAGCTCGTAAAAGCTGGGAATCACTGAAAAGGGAGGGGCCCTGGGAAGGACTGCCTCTCTTCTGGCTAAGTAGGGAAAACCATGTGTGGTGCAGTTACCCGAACCCCATGGGGTGTCAGGTGGGGAGGGGGGAATGCTGGGCGAAGGTCCACTCCACCCCATCCCAGCTGATTAAGGACAGCGAGTCTGAGTCCGGTCCGCGGGGAGGGACACACAGCTGTTGTTTATCATTCCTCCCTGAGAGGGAGCTGGTCAAGACTCCTCCTTGGGCCTCAGGGTTCCCTCCTGCAAAATCGGGTTTGGGGGCCCTACCTGGTGGTGCAAAGGGTTAAAACGCATCACTGTGAGGCCATCTGCAGGAGTTTGATCCCCTGGTCAGGGAGGTGACCCACATGGCACAGCAGACCTCTCTTGACCTACCCGCTGTTCCCCTCAGCATTATGTTTCAGTCCATCTGCCTGTTCTGCTCCCCACTCTGACTCTGGTGAATCCTCTCACACCCCCGGTACCTCTGGCCTGTACCCCAGTTCTTGTATGCATAAGTGGATGGATACATCTTTTAAAAAGAATAAAAATTTAAAAAGGGGGTATGGGTTCCTACAGACCTGTAGTGCGGGCTCACAGTACGTGGAAGTCTGGGGGAGCACGAGAAACCACACTGCTCTGTGGCAGCAGGAAAATGCCAGGCTCCCATAGATTTGAAAGTCCAGCCTGGCAGAAAGGGCCCTGGGGAGTGGACGCCGGGAGGACCTTCTGGCGGCACCCCCTAGCGCCGTATTTTCAGTTCTGCTGAGAATGGGAGCAAGTGGGAACCAGGTGATGACTTTCCCCCTCTGGGGTGCTTCATGGTCTCACAGGCCCCGGGGCCTCATCCAAGGTTGGAAGGCACCCGAAAGTCATCGCCCAACCTCTGGCGTCAGACTCCTGTCCCCACTGCCTTGCTTCTCAGTTCCTCAGAGTAAGTCAAAGACCCATCTTTCCGCAACTCCCACCCTTATTCCTAAACCTACCCGTGGGAGCCCCCGAGGGACCCCTGGTTTCTCAGGCAAAACCGCAGCTACTTTTCTAGCACATATTTTTCAGGACCCCAAAGGCCGGGATTCGAGCCTCCTCAGACAGCAACTGTCACTTGCTCCCAGTTTGCATCATCAGCAGCTGGAGACACTCAGCTCCACCCGGTCATGTCATGTCGGACTTCGCAGAGGGAGAAGGAAAAACCGAATGGCCAAAAGATTGGGACAATTAGGCTAAAGCCACAGGTAGAAGTGCCCCTGGGGGTGGGACGGGAGCAGGGCCTGACCCTTCACCCCCAGGGTGCTCCATACTGATTGTTCCGGGGGAGGGGCAGGCACCCTGGGACACTGGCGACATCCTGACCTGGAGCCCAGGCTCACAAGGGTGTTTCCTGGGGAAGCTCTTTCCAGGGAAATTGAGCTTCTACCTTCAGAATGTGCCCATTAAAGTGACAACTTTAATATCAAAAAGGGCACTCCAGGGCTGTCCACAGCAGACAGCCTGGCTATGGACACGAGGACGCTGGAATCCTGCTCCTGATTTACCAAGGCCTTCCACTGCGGCTGTGATGCTGGCGGAGAGACCCTCCGGGAAGCAGGACCCACGTGAGTACCTGGGGATCCCCGTCTGGGAGCAGGGCTTCAATAATGTGGCATGAGGACAACTTCCCTGGGGACTGGAGGGGACACTCGGGCACAGCCATCAGAGCAGCAGCACCTGGTTTCTCCCCTCGGCCTTCCCCCAGAGGCCTCTTCCAGGTCTAAAGGCCGAGAAGACCTGCCCCGTGTGCACAGCCAGGCTCCCAGTCCAGGCTGCTCACGGAGCCTGAGAGCCGAATCGGTGCCAAGTCCAGCAGAGAGGTCCCTGACTCAGGGGGGGCCCGAGCAGACAGAATTCCAGCGGCACATGTTAGCTCAGACACCATCCGGCTGGCAAGCCCAGCAAGGCCTGGCCTGCCCTGCCCTGCCCTGGGTGATGAGGAGCCAGCAGCAGCTGGGAAGAGGAAGGCGCAGAGGTCAAATGTGAAGCATGTCTGGGAAGGAGGCCAGTGCCCACCCATGAGATCATGGGGTACCTGCCCTCCAGCCCCATACTCGCTTCTGGGATGCCCTACCTACGAGGAGCCCCATCTTTTGCATGGACCACAAAACACAGGCCGGCTGCCCAAGCTTCTTTGCTGACCTACCTCATCAACATTTTCTTCCAATGTCTGGTCAATCCACAAGTCTCAGAAACCCCGATGTGGAGACTGGGGACAGGGCCCCAAGCCTTCCCTGGTCCCCTAAGCCCAGTCCAGCCAGGCTCTGAAACGCAGGCCGCAGCCATTACTGCAGCCTCAGCTCACACACCCAGAGAGCTTAGAGCTCATCTTCCCCCTTTTTTTTTTTTTTTGAGACAGTGATTTTAACTCCTTCCCCACCACTTCCCCAGCACTGAGATACAAAGGTCCAGCTTAGTCTTGACTGGCCCCCAGCCTCCAGGACCACTCTCTCCCCTGCCCCCATAGGCAGGGCCCCTCTAATTCATCCTCCGGCTAGAGAGCCTCCACCAGCAACTTCAGAGCCAGGCGCGGACTCCAAACTCCCTTTATGCTGCCGTCCTGCCTGGACCCCTGCTAGCCCTCATCAGCCAGCGGGGAGAGCTTCTCAGAGAGGAGGAGTCTCCGCTCCAGCCAAGGACCTCAGCTGATTCTACTCCCCCAGGGGACACTTCCCCTCCCCCTCACGAGCACCCCAGCTTCCTCTTGCAGCAGGGAGGGTTAAGCCTTCGGGGTGGGGCTGGGCTCGCGCAGGCCCCCTCCCCAATTCTCTCAGCTGCCAGTCCTGTCAGGCTACCATCTGCACGCCGCGCAGAAAGGCCCGAGTGCTTTCGCCCAGTCATGCCCCCCTTGCGCTGGCCTGGAGGGGGGCCTGGGGGTAGGGGGTAGCGGGTCCTTCCTGAAGCCTTGTGACCCCTCCGTGCCGCGGGTCTCGGGGCGCCGGCCTGGTCTCTCGATCCCCCTTCCCCGCCCCCAGCCGTGGCAGGCCGGCCCGGGCGGGAGAGCCGGCCGCTCGTCACCCGAGTCGCTGCCGGACCAACCCGGGAGGGAGGCTGGGCA